TGGCACAGGACAGAGCGGAGTTTAGGGTTGTTGTACATAGGGTCGCTATGAGTCGCAGGCAACTCGACGGCACATAACAACAACAACAACAACATGTCAATCCATCTCCTTGAAGATTTTCCTCTGTCTTTCTGACTCTTTACTTTAAAAGGTATGATGTCTTTATCCAGAAACTGACCTTCCTGTTAGCACGTCCAACATCTGTGACATGAAGTCTTACCATTCTTGCTTCTTGTTTGTTTATTATACTAGTTTATTTACAAAATTCTAATACATTGTTTCTCAGGTCAGATTCTTCTGATTTCCCTCACCTCCTCACCCATAAAATTGTACAACTCCATGATTAATCCCCCTCCCCCTGCACAACCTCATCCCTCTGGTTCCACCCTCCCTCACCCCTGCTGGATCCTCATACTCATTCTACAATAATGGTTTAATATATTACTTGTCCTTGTGGGACTGAGCCGGTTCACTCAATATAATGCTCTCCAGTCCCTCCCAAGCTAGGTAATATTTTACAAAATCATTGCACCTGTGTGCCACGTATAAATTGTGTGAATGTATCATAATTTCTCAATCCATTTGATTGTGGTTGGACATCTTGGCTGTTTCCATGCTCTTGAGATGGTAAATAACCCTGCTATGAACACTGGTGTATCATTCTTGCTTCTAAGGAGCATTCTGGCTGCACTTCTTCTCAAACAGACTTACTCACGTTCTTCACAGTCCTTAGTATACACAATAGTCTTTCACAACCTCACAAGCCAAAGGCATCAATTTGTCTTTATTCATTGCCCAACTTTCACATCTATGTGAAGTAAATAAAAATACCACATTTTGGATCAGTCACACTTCGGTCTTCAAAATTATGTCTTTGTTTTTTTAACACTTTTAAGAAGTTCTTTGCAGCTGATTTGCCCAATGTAATATATCATTTGATTTCTTTACTGCTACTTTCCATACACATTGATTATGGATCCAGAAAAATATTGAAATCTTTAGTCACTTCAGTGTTTTTTCAATTTGTTATTATATTATTTATTATTCCAGTTATGGGGATTTTATTTTCTTAATATTGAAATATAATCCATATTGAAGGATATAAACTTTGAGCTTCACTAGTAAGCACTTCAATTTTTTTTAGCAAGCAAAGTTGTATAAACTGTGTATCATATGCTCTTAATGAATATTCCTCTAAACCTAATGCCATATTTTTTACGTAATCCAGCTATTAGAATTATTTCATCAGCATACAAGTTTGGTATATATGCTAAAAGGATATAATCTTAATTTCCAACTAGAGTAGTACAGAAGTTTTTCATCTTTTGTTATGTGGAGTATTGTTTACAAACCATATTAGTTTTTCATTCAATCATTCATATACATCTTGTTTTATAGCTAGTTCATTAATTACAGTGTCTGATATTCTTAACATATACTTTTTCTTTTCACCCAATGTAATACTTTTAATGTATGTATGTATGTAGTATGTATGTATTATTTACTTCTTACTTATTTATACCCTTTTCCCCTCCCTAGTAAGCATTCATTTCTTAAGCTCAAGGAACTGAAGAACAAATTCAAACCTAGAGTTGCTGTAATCAAGGATGCTTTGGGCAGAATATTAAATGATCCAGGAA